AGGTGCCATAATCATAAATTTTCATACCTCATCACCAAATTTTCTTGAATGTTGAATGCATCAAAAAATAAATATTATAAGCACTTTTCTTTAATAAGCAAAGGCACCCAAACAAACTCTTTCACTTTTTGAATGAATGTTCTGTGCTTAAGTAACAAGAGTAATACAATAATAGAACATAATATTTTGGGTCAAAAATTATCATAATCAACTAATTTCTTATTAAAAAATAATAATACGAATGTTGCAACAAGTTAGATACAACACATTGTGTCCTATTAACATTCCAATCAAATATTAGTACCACTCTCAAATAAAGGTATCTGTTAAATATGTGCTGCAATAAAAGTCTCCAAAAATTGTATAAATGATAATGGTGCACTGGGTTTTATTAGCATTAGGACATACATCATTCTCACTTTTTTGAAATATTTCAGAAAATACTCACAAAGTCAATTATAGAAACACGCCATAGAGTTCGGAGGTCAAGAAACTGACGAAAAATTCCTCGAAGGGCTACAACAACAATGGCTGCTAGGCAACACTGGAGTTAAAAAATAAAACAAAGATAAGAATAAGTTATCCCACTAACAACATAGATATTAAATATGCAATTTATTATTATTTAAAATTTTATTAGGCGAGAATTTTTTTTATATTATTTGTTTAGCTAATGATTGTTTTACTAATTATTTAAAGAGGAATCGACAATAATAAACAATGTCATTATTGTATTACGTTTTTGTAAAAATTTTAGGCAATAATCATCAGGTCTTGGTGTCAATACCAGCAGCCTACAATTCAACACTGAATTAATTGTGGGGGTCCTACTAGTTTCAATAATAATTGACAACTCCTCCCACCCTTGGAAGCCCTGCTAAAGATAAAAAAAAACATACATACATTTGGTAAGCTTTCAAAGTAAGGTCCTATTGCTAACAAAACAATCAAGATAAGGAATGCCGAGATGATCCCTGCAAGCTGAAAAAAAAGAAAGAGTAGATAATTAATGTTTTATATTTGTGCAATTATAAGAATGAAAATAGGATAGTCTCCTACTAACTATACTTAGGACAATGTCAGTCAGTTTTACCTTAAAGCCAGGCTCTGGAGGGAAAAATAATATGTTCTAGAACTAATTTTTCTAAAACAAAACGGGAATGGTTAATGAACCTTTAAAAACTGGGGAAAAGGGTGATTATGCCCCTTTCCCCCTCCCACCTCCAGTTTTTAAATATTCAAAAACTGTTATCTCATTACTAGTTCTCAAGTTTTTCATCAAATATGCTTTTTGTGTCTTAGAAATATCAGTTGTACAATATATCATATATTGTTCTCCTCCAAATTCAGACTTCAAGCAAAACACTCACCAATAGGTAGCAGTAGCTACACATGACTTGAAATTTATTCTTTTGTATTTAAATGCTATTCCTGAGTTTTTCGTCAGATATGTTTTTTTGTGTCTTAATATTAAAATCAGATTTACAACACATCAAAAAATATTTTCCATCCACAGCCTCACTTTAAATAATTACAAATGTTAAAAATGAAATTTATTTTAAAAAACAAATTGAGTCTACCTGAGTTTTACCGCCTGATGAGTCTTGAATTAGACTTCTGGACAATGAAGTTCCCGGTGGGAAGCAGGAGAAAAACGAAGAAACTATGGCAGTAACACCACCAGCCAACAGCTCCTGTATAGAAAAAAATGTTATACAACTATTGAATTTCCATGAAGGATTATGAAAAACGTACAACGGACATCTTCTTCTAAACAGTCTATTTTCAAGCACACTAGGTTTTCAAATGCAGACGATCCACAAAAGATGCAATACCTCCATGATTTCCCCGTTTACAACTTTTAAAGTATAGCTCTACATATTAAACAACTAGAAAATGTAAGAATGACCACAAAACTGGCTGTTACTATTTGTTCAGCACTTTGTCATAGAACCCTAATACATTATATTTGCTGCGAAGCAGCCAATTTATATTCTTGACAGCAATTTGACCTCTGAAAGTCATTGTTTGTCAAAAAACAATCGCCTAAGACAACTGAAAAGCGGAGTATCCTTCTTTCATTCTGCCAGGTATCAATTACTTTAGGCGACGTTTGTAGACTAACCTACTCGTACCACCGTCGGCATGTTTTTCAGCGTTTTTACTATATTTCTAGGTTTCCTATTTCTACGTTTAATCGGCTCATGTCTCAGCCACAATATTTTGAGGACAATATTATTTACGAACCCAGTTAAACTTACTTACTAGCCTATTTCAACATGCTAATTATTACATTTAGGCGACGCTTGTTGTAGACTGGCATAGTGTTTTCGGAAATAAATACCATTTTATACACATGCACAGATCAATTCGCCAGCAATGAGTCATCGCCAGCAGCAGCGAGTCGCCAGCAGAGAGACGTCACTGCAGCAAAATACTATTCTACACGGTACCAACGCTGTTCTAATATAGACATTGGGTCGTGCTCATATTATTTGTTATATTTTTATTATTCATTATTTTCACTTGACTC